TTTTMGWRAAAAAAAAAAAAAAAAAAAAAAAAACAAAACAAAAAAAAAAACAAAAAGTAAATATATTCAGTTCCTTTTCTTGTTGTCTATACTCTGTATATGTCATTTATTAAACTATGAATTTCATTTTATAAATTAATGAGCTGTCTCCAATAGAGGATGTTAGTGACACCGGCGGGCTGGTTCATGCCATTGTTATATCATTATAGTATACTTATAGTATACTTATGAGAAAAATATCTTTCGTACTTTTCAACCCCCACAGGGAAAACTTTAACCTCAAGTAATTCCAAATTTCTTTATTTTAGAAAGAAGACTAGAACTCTACTTTGAGTTGATTGGTTATAATTCTGGAATCTATCAGCCTCCATCACGTGAAAACTGTCTAACCTGAAATCTCTCCCTTTTACTGATCCTTCTTCCGGAGTTGTTTTTATTAACACTTGGTATTAAAAAATGCCAGAGTGGTCAAATATCAGTCCAAACATTTATTATTGTAAAAGATGGGGCCTGCTTCCTTGTTATCTTGAATTCATGGGTAAGTTACCCGCACAGATGATATGGGGTCAGAAACGATGAGTTAATGTCTTAGTCGATCACCAGAGAAACTGTAGTTGACTGCCGGCGTAATAGATCTCAATTTTCAGCAGTTGACGGGGATATTTTTTAGAAGCGACCATGTTAGCAAACCATAGCAACAACCGAGTCTGATTTCATACGGAAATAATTTTGAATGTTTTACTGGGCAGGGTGTGATGCAGTGTGCAAACTGAACAACACTTCTTATGGCTACACTGATGTGGTTCCTGATGAAATTTCCTAATTGCAAATAATTGAAACATTTCATTTTACTTTATCTGTTTAAAGGCTCTTGCGAACAACAAAGGGAATTGAATTCCGAGATAAACAAAGTCAGTTAACTTGACCTTAGAATTTTCTCGATTCTCTAAAAAGAAGTGAAGTTCTGGCCTGGCGCACTTGAGACTCAGCTAACAATCTAATATGCTTTCCCACGTTTTTCAAAAGTTAGAAACGTGGAGAAGGCACCGAATTCGTCCAGCGTAACCCAGGAACAAACAAAATCATGCGAGAAATATGCAAACATTTCTGCGCGTTTGAAGGATCAGGACAAAGGAGGAACAATGTGTCAAAATAAAAAGAAGAAAGGAGATTTGTGAACTTTGTATATGAGACAACTCATTCTGTTTGACATACCAGACAATAGAATGTGTACTGATCACTGATCTTAGAGAAGCAACCTGAGAGAAAGACATTGTCCTTTCGTGGCCTCTACCGTTGAGACTTGTGGATGATTGAAAAGATAAGTTTCGCATTCTACAGGAAAAAAAACCTACGTAGCTGGAAGCCAAGCTGATAAACAATGTCATGAAAGAATGGAGATTATTCGGTTCTGGACAGCATTTATCATCTCTTTCTGGATTTAATTGGACAGTCACTTGCATCCAAGCTATTGTTTCAAAATTCAATCGATTTTGAGACAATAAAAATCATGTAAATACTGCACATCAATTCAACATCATAATCTATTGGGGTAAGAGATTTACATTATGAATTGTCACCATAAACGTGTACTTTAAAAACTGTAATCTATGAGACAATCTACAAAGTTATGAAATTATGCCATTTATTTTCAGTCTGTTATTTGCTTCTTTCGACCTTTCACACCAATTTGACATTCTGTTCGTTTTGCTGTACAATCTATTCTAAAGGAAGTCATGATGGATAACCCGCTTTCGCGGGTCCTTTAATCATTTGCCTTTTGAAGCTAAAGGTAATTGAAATTCTAATCAATTCTTTCACTGATGGCTTAAACAACTGAGTTCTTATCAACCTCTCACTAAATCACACTGTAACTTGACAACATAATCTCTTAATTTATAAGCAATTTTCCGATCTCTTGGCATGCCTTACTATTTACATAAGAATGCTGCAATGAACTCTGGGCCAAAAGTGATGTTCGTTGTTTATCTTCTTAAACGTCTGATCCTGTCTTTTGTAAACACAGCACAATGTGTAAACATGTAAAACTCAAAATCGAACGTTCTGTTCTCTTCAAGTGGATTGGAAGATGTCTTTTCGTCTCCATTATACTTGTTCAGGTTTTGGTGCTCAACCAGTATCTGGTGTCGTATGAGAAGGAATCTTCATTCCAAGCTTTCACCCTTGCTTATGTCCCTACATTGCTTCTATGGGCTAAAGGACAAATGAACAATCGACAACGCGAGGTGGCAGCTGGAGTATGGTTCTTGTACATTCTACCTCTCTGCATTCACGGTGGATGGATTCTGGGAACATTGATGTCCAAAATCAACGTCGATTCTTCTGGACTCGATCATGGCACTGTGAAATATCCTTTCTGCGCTACCGTGTTGGTGTATATGTTGTTGGATGCTGACGGCTTTGAACCCAGCTTTCATATGAACATAAACTGGCCGGTTATCATCGACATATTTGACGTTGTAAATCTTCTGGACGCCATTATCGATCCGAGAAAAAACGAAGTTTTACCGAGTGATATCGACTATTGCATATTTGCGTTTTCCGTTTTAAGTATGATAATTCTTACTTTCAGTTTTGCCGTACCAGTGAGGGAGGCACTTCGGAACAAAGATGATACTAATCAATCACAAGCGAGAATTTTCACTACATACACACTGTTACAATCGATTGTTGTCAATCTACCATTTCTTATAATACGCCTGGTGCTTCACTATACATACAAAACTGGAGGTTCGGTTTTTGCGTTTAAAAATTTATTCGTGATAATCTTAAATTTCATCAGGGTAAACTTCGATTGTTGTGTCAAAGAGGACGAAGAGGAACCTCAGCCGGCATTAACTTCGAATGGTCACACTCCGTCGAACACGGAGGAGTCTGGAAGTGTGATCCAGTCAACACAATCGAGCCACTTGGACGATGTTTCTAGCATTTCGTCGTCTGTTAAGAGAACGCACAGAGACGAAAGAGTCCGTTCAAGACTTGTGCAAGACAGGGAAGACCCTGAGGAAATAATTGTTCTGAGTTAAACGACAATTCGACTGTTTAGTCGTGGAAGTGCTGTTTAATTTTATTTTGCTAATTATACTTTTAAAAGGTCACAAACACTTCATTAACATGATCGTGAAAATACAGCCAATTTATGCCGAGATATTTGGTAGCTGTTTAAGAAAGAGACACTAAAGACTATTGAAACCTCAGTCACTTGGAAGAATCTTGAATAAAGTGACACAAATAAGGAGATCTTTCACTGGAATCATGAACAGAACCTTTTCAACATCATGTGATCCAAATCGTAAACGTTATCAAAATATTCTCTTGTTTAGAGTTACTCGAGCGGAAATACAATTCCATTTTGTACACAATATGAATGATGTCCTTTCTTTATTAAAAATTAGTTGAGCCTCGAGGGCGTATGAGTTTTCGTTGGCATTTAAGGCCACCAGAGCCTAGTTCAATGGCAAGAGTCGTTATACGAAATCTCACCGATTTCAGACGCAATATCTCAACAGTTGTGTGCTTGGTTGCCAAGCTTTTGAATGGGAGTGAGGCTAGGGGTGACCTTGTTATGATACAAACCTTGCTGCCTTTCAAATGTAAATCACTTTGTTACCATGCTAACTAGATACAGGTCTCTATCACAACAAGGTCACCTTTAGCCTCACTCTGAATCAAAGGCTTGGCAATTACTTAAATTAATTAAATTAATTTCACAGGAGGAAATCTAATATTCACGCCGAGTAAGATTTGTTTTTCTGTGTCTCATTCGATTCGATGACATTCGTTTTTTTCACATGGACACAATAATCAATATCAAGGACCTAAAGTATCAGTTTTGATGTAAGTGAAATTATTACCAAAAAGAGTATTTTTTCAGCTTGGTGTTCACTTTTTAAAAAAAAAAAAAATCCACCAAAGGCTGTTTCCATGGGCGAAGGAAGAAATGCTTCAAAATTTTGTGGAATGAATTTAGTCATTACTTGAAATATTCGAACTTTATGCTTGGAGGAAATCTCAAAAATCAAGAAAAATCCAAATTTAAGCCAGAGGCAAAAATATCAGTTAAACGAAAAACAAGAGAGTTCACACCTCATTGCATGACAGCAGTAAAGAGAATCGCGCATGCGCACAGAGTAAGAAGGGGAGATACGTTTTGTGGAAACTTTTCAAAGATTTACGAACCTTCGCCTCGAAGATGAAAAAGTTTGTTCATTTATAGAAAAATTAATAAGTATCAACGGCATCAATTGTCAAATGCTTATCGATCGTGGTGAGCCATTTGGTAAAATACAATGATTATTTTTAATCCAACGTGGCACCTAATTTTTACCAGATTTTCTTAGCCTGTAAGCAGGCTTTGGTACTTAGAGCCTGGGCACGAGCGTTTCTCAGGCTGCGGAGTGTATGAGACCTTGATCAAAGCTAGCCAGCGAGCATTCTATTAGTGTCAGACCCCCGGATAATCTTGCCCCGTCTTGTCTCAAACCCTCCCATGGGCGAAAAAACAAGTGTCTTGGAGCGCCTATAGTCGATTAGAGTCTTCCCGTTTCAGCCTCTCGATAATTTGCATTTGTTACATATTTGATTTGTCTCAAGAAAGGATTAATTGGATACAACAACCAGCATTGCTTAGTGCCATAACTGTGTGCGCCCATGTCTGTTATTCGCTATTGTTACGCCAGGTCAAATCTAACATAAAATTTAATACAGGCTGTAAAATTTCTTTCAAATCTTTTAAGAGTTCAGTTTCCTGGTCAAAAGAAAAGCCGAGAAGGGAAGGACAGTCCTCAAAATGTCTTCACTAAGAGACTGATTTTAGCAAAGAATCAATTGTTGCTACCTAGTATACGAAAAGAAAAACTTCTTAGACATAAGGAGAGATTCATCTTTATTTTAACACGAATTCAACTCGTAAACAAATAATGAAATTGAGTTACAGTTATTTGACAAAAATTATTTGGCAGGATTTTAACAGCATTATGAAAGCTCTAGTACACATTGTTAATTCCTATTCCAACACTGAGAGAAAAAGACACCCTGGTTGAACAAAGGAACCTATCGTGCTCCTACTTCGACAAACTGAAAAACCTCGAAGAAGATACAAGTACATGAATCAATGAATCGTTGGTTTGCAACTTCTTCCATTCCTCGATCACAAAACGTGAAACTCATTGCCGTTCCATTCATGTCTATTTTTACAGCTCATGTATAAGCTATGAGGATAGTCTCATGTGTAAGCCAATATTATTTGCAGGGTAGACAAGCACATTAAAACTAACTGAGGTTTACTGAGCCCGCAGAATTAGCATAGTGTCAGAACTTCGTGAGTTCCCCCCATACTTAGACATTAAGTTTCGAATTTGAGTTTTAAAGAGATTTTGCAAATATTCTGGTATTTTACATCAGTTTACGACCATGCATTTCTAGTTCCAGTTCCCTTAAGGTTCTATCTATCTCCGCGTCGTATTGTTTGATCCGATCTGCGTCCTGTTCGTCATTCAGGCTGGCTCCAAGGTCTCTGATGAAAGGGTCCTAAGACAGATTTAACATTATTTTTATTACTTTTTGTACAACAGTGGTTCGAGCTTTGGAAATGAACTCTCCATAGAGTCTTGATACCAAAGGAAACGCTTCTTTGAAACTCGCTTCTTGAGTGCTCTTCCGAAGTGCTTCATATCTTCCTACGCATGAAACAATTGTTTTATAATTTCTTCCATGAGAACATTTTCAAATGACTGTCATAAAAACAAAACGAAAGAAATCACAACAGCCAATCATAATAATTGAAGGTTCGCGTCATCATTAGCCAAGGGGACTCAAAGAAAAAACAGGCAAACCACCAAAAGCGCGGGAAAACGCGGGCGACCAATCACGATTGTTTTCCTTTGGCGTCTGACCAATCACAGACCGAAGTAAGGCAAAACCAGAACATCCTGGATTTCTTTCGACACTTTGAAAATGACTCTGCTATCTAAAACCATTAGCTGTGTAAAGAACGACCGCAAACTGCACTAGTCCATCTTACCGCTGCGACCAGAAAGTGTGAAAAGAAGCCTTAATGTCAAACAAGGAAGCAATAACGTACCATGTCTTTGCTTTTGGCCTCATCATCTTTCTGTGTCTGCTTTCTTCGACAACCCATAAACCCAGGGGATACTCGGCATTTCCGCTTCTGCGGCTCTCGTTTTTCGAAAGTGTCCCCATTCTGGAGTAAATTTTCTTTTTTCCTCGCCTCCTAAATCGATGCGCAAATATTTTTTGAGAGTATTGTCGAAACACCAAAGGGCTTGTTCAGGATCGTTTGAAAAATCCAAAAATAAATTAAACAGGAACAAGTTTAAGCACATTGCAAATTCCCTCGCGCTGCAACTTTCATGCTCCTCTGTCAAAAGGCAGATATGATATGCAACAATTACAAGCTTAAGGGTACACAGACGAGGTATTGATCACACGAGTGAAACACAAAACAGATAGACCGTTTGCATTTGACTCTCATCACCAGTAATTATAAAAACAATACAAAGTGCTGAACCTTTACAGCAAGTACTTGCGCTTCAAAGAAAGATCAGTTATACTTGGGGAAGAGCAAGAGCACAATGGCACATATTAGCGGTAAATATTTCTCTTACCCAGTTGAGTATGTCTCGAATAAGAGTCCTCTTTAATTCTCCGTCTGTGAGACTTTGTTGGAGTTGAATCTTTGACGCTGTGTCTTCATTGTTATACGTTCTGTCTCTTGAAGGGATACTTCCTGTTTGTTCATTTCTCCTCCAAGGATAGCGATCAAAGTAGTCCTGAAAGACTCCCTCTTCCCCCGGAAACACCTTTAACAAAAGTTCAAGGCTACTCAGTTCAAGTAAAACTTTTCATACGTCACCAAATAGATTGTCTATGCGAGCTCATCACCACACAGTGGTCAAATGTTGGGCATGCGCGAGGAAATCAATTCTGGCTGGCCGCGCCCCAATGAAAAATGGATTGAAATGAATAACGAAAGATACGAAGCAAATAAACTGTTAATGTCATGGTTTACCTTATTGTAAAGATTGTCCTTTTCTTCTCTTTGAATGGACGAGAAAGGAAGGGAAGCGCATAGAATTATGCAGAGATTTACCAGGAGTAGCAACGAGACGCTTCTCATGTATGGCATGGCTTGACTTGCTCTCGAATCAAAGTAATATAATCCAGTTGTAATCTGTGAAAAAAAGAAATAAATAAACGTGACGCTTCTCAGGTATGCCATAGCTTGACCTGCTCGTCAATCAAAATAAGATAATTCAGTTATTTATCTGCGAAAAAAAAAAAAAAGGAAGGGCGATGCAAAATTGTGCTTGACAATGACCTTCAGCCTTTACCCAGGCATTAGTTGTTTTTTCTTCTTTTGTTGGCCGTAAATATGAGATTTATCTTTCGTTAAAAGATGAAAGGGATATTCGGAAGACCTATAAGAAGTCGCTCGTTCATGGCGATCGTCAGAGAAAGGAATGTCCTTTTGAAAAAACATTTTCGGTAGTACTGTTTTCTGTCTCGACAATCTGAGCGGAATTTTATATTATATGCTAGTAACAGTCGAAGTCGAAACGGAAATTGAATGACACATGTCAAACGGAAATGACTTCTGGTGGCGATCACGTCCGAATCGGCTGTAATTACGAATCAGCACGTCCCATTCGAGTATATTGGGTTTTATTTCATTGACCAAATCATCCATTCTCAGAGTTACATCGTAGCGCATCATTCAAAACAGTGATGATCCTGCAGTGTTTGTTAATTCTCTAGGGAAAATATCCATGAAAGAAGAAGTGTTGTACGCAAGCAGTACACAGGTAAATTATATTAATTTCATGTTCAGAGTCTAAACTTTACTATAATATAACGATTGATACTTGAGTTACAAAAGCGTAGAAAGGTTTCTCTTCTATTAATCACGCAGTGTATTCTCAAGATTTTAGACCTTCAGATAACAGCAAAAAAATTTCGCATTATTGCCGTTAGATCCAACACGTGGTCTCTGATTATAAATTTGTGTTACATTTCCAAAAAATCGTGGAAGGATTTCCTGAATATCCGTTATATACTTAGCTCATTAGAATTCTAGACGGTAAAGGATTGAAATGAAATGCTGAACATTCCACTGATCTCGTAAGTTTTATTCAGGAAGCTTGGATTTTTCATTTCATGCCCTAAAACTATCGGAAGAACGTTGAAGTATAACCCTCAGTAGTCAAACATTTGTGCGAGAAATGGTTTTGTTTCATTGGAGTTTATAGACGATCTGTTGTCATTCTTAAAATAGCTACTGGTTTTTTTTTTTTTTTTGCACATTTTAGGAACTGTTACTTTGGTCTCCATGTGAAATATTTCTGTAATTATGAAACAATAACCATTCCAGGATTGGTTGCTTTGGGAGCCATTGCTGCATGTCTTTTTTCCAGATGGGAAAAAAATGACAATAAAAGATGAAAAAAAAAAAAAAAAAGAACAACAACAAATGAGAAAAAGATTACGAAAACCTTGGTAGCAGGCTTTACCTCTTTGTTCTTTATGTGCCTCTTAACGTCACATCATGTAACTTCAGCAACTCATAACTTAAATCCGTTTCCGAATAAAGATGACAACGATAATAAAGAGTATTACTATTGATGGTAGCTGGTAACGGTACATTGAATGATGGCATTAATATAGAAAGGAAAAATTGTTTATGCATAATACACCAAAACGATCTTAGTGCGATTTCGAAAGAAAAGCCACTTAACGTCAGTTTGTTTGATGGTTGCTGAATTCATGTGCGAAGAAATCTCCCGTGCTTCTGAAACGGGATGTGCTAAGACCAAGAAAAACGTCGTCTAAGAACAGATAACGGTGAAAGTGCGAACAGCGGTAATCCGCCCAAGAATTCAAAATGGCGGATGACCAAACGGAGAAAGATCTGAGCACTACTTTTGAACGCGCCCTTCGATCTTCGTAGTGGAAGCGAAAAACATGGAAGATAAACGAAGTTTTTATCGAAGGGTTTTACGCTAGAACTTTGACATCAAAGTTGTATTTTGCTCTGAAATATATAGCAGGTGCGATAGAAATCGGCCTTGTGTGACGTGAGTGTCTCGCAATTAATTCTAGGCGACTAAACATTGGAACAAGTAATTAAGAACTACATTCAACTGCACTGCAAACATGTCAATACTCTAACTATTAATGATTATACAACTTGACCTTAGTGAAATTTCCTTTCAATATTTCAAGTTTGCTTTTTCATCTGGCGTTATCAATAATATCACAAACTGGGCATTTCAAAATAAATTTGAAAGTGATTATGCCACGTAAACATGGTTGTAAATATGACTTAATACCAAAATAAATGGAAAACGTTTTGTGATAGTATCAACCTGGGAGATACAGATTAATGAATTTCTTCATTCAGGCTTACCGTTCGTGGCACTGCTAGACATAGAAACAGAATATGATGGCTCGTGCTAGCTCCACACAAAGGCGAAGGTAAGAATTGTACTAAGTTATGATAAAAAATGTAAGTAGAGATTGCATCAGTGAATATTTACTTGCCATCCTCCATTTTAAATCTTATGCGGATTACCGCGGTACATTTGTTTCTTGTTCAACGGTCTCGTTTCCAGAAGATATATTTTCTTTATACTTGTTGTTTTCTGAATGAAGGTCTCAAGGGAATCAGATGTGTGCACGTGAATTAGCGTAAATTTGAGGGACAGTTCCTACCTTGGAAAAAGAAAACATACGAGTGTGTTCCTCGTTCCTAACTTTAGTTTCATCAAACTTAACATGCGCCAAATTTTAAAGGTGAAATTTACAGAATCTTCAAATAGAGCATTTTTCGCCAAAATTTTCCTTAAAAGCTAGTTACTTTATTATTTCCCTTTCGATTCTTCGCTATTCTTGACGATAGCCTGCTTTAACCAGACATTTGTTGGTTTTTTCTTTTTTTTTTTTTTGTTGGCTGTAACTATGAGATTTATATTTCGTTAAAAGATGAAAGTGATATTCGGAAGACTTATAAGAAGTCGCTCGTTCATGGCGATCGTCTGGGAAAGGAATGTCCTTTTGAAAAACCATTTTCGGTAGTACTGATTTCTGTTTCGACAATTTGAGCGGAATTTTATATTATATGCCAGAACTCCAGGAATAATCGAAGTCAAATCAGAAATTGACTAAACGGACGTGATTTCCGGTAGCGATCACGTCCGAATCGGCTTTAATTACGAATCAGCACGTCCCATTCGACCACAGGTAACCCAAGGTCACTACTAGAAAAGCGGACGTGACTCTGACAGTGTTGCAACGTTTTCTATTTATAAAGGTTTGTATGGGATATTATCGGTTTGCCTTAAAAGGGAGAAAAAATGTCTTGTTTTGAAATAAAATGGACTTACCTTATTGCCTTGTTGTTTTCTTTGTTGATTACCAGCGTCTCAGGCCATTTTGAAGCGTTTTTCGGCGAGTTAAACACCAAAATAGCGCTAAATTTAAGACGTTGCGCAACACTGTAAGAATCACGTCCGCTTTTCTAGTAGTGAGCTTGGGCTGCCTGTGATTCGACCAGCTACTACAAGTTGTTCTCAGAGTCAACATGGTAGTATGTTTTATTTCATTGACAAAATCATCCTTTCTCAGTGGTACATCATAACGCCTCATTTGAAACAGTAATGGTCTCGCAGTGCACAGGTAGATGATATTAATTTCATGTTTCCGACTCTAGACTTTAATTTATTACAGTTTCTCCAAATATAGATTAAATTAAATTAAATTAAACATAAACAGAATAAATAAATGATGATGATGGAGAGGCAGCATCCAAAAGCGTCCTAGACACCATACGAGGGATGCTCCCCAGTAAGATACAATATTAAAAAAACAGTTATCATAGTTTAGAGTTTGATATCTAAGTATTAAATTGAATCAAATCTAAAAATTCTAAGAATTGCCAAGGAATGAAGTAGCTTTATGTTTAAGACTAGAAATACTAGCAGAATCCTTTATATTATTTTGAAGACTGTTCCATTCATTCACAACACGGATAAAAAAGCTATATTAAAAAATATTTGTTCGACTGTAGATGCAGACTTGGTCAAGAGAATCATTCTTCCTTGAGTTATAATCTACACTACGATCTTTACAGAAAAGAAACTTATCAGAAATATCCCTATCATAATGCCCATTCATTAAATTGAATAAAAAAACAACATCCCTTATGTATCTTCTATGAAATAAACTATGTAATTTTAATTTCTTTAATCTAACATCATAATCCTCATCAGATTTAAGAATAAACTTAGTTGCCCTCCTCTGAATTGCCTCTAATTTATTGATATTGCGTTGTGTATGAGGATTCCAGGTTTCACATGAATACTCGAGCAGGGGTCTGACAAGACTGCAGTATAATGTATTCAATGTAGTGATATCTTTCAAATCTCTACATATTCTTTTCACCAGACCAAGAATCTTATTAGCCTTAGCACATACCGAGAAGACCTAAATCCCTATGTATATGTACACTTTCTAAGCTCTGACCGTTTAGGTAATAGTCCCCAACTAAAGGACTCTTTTTCATAGTAATTCTCATGATCTTACATTTCTTTGTGTGTATTTTCATTTTGTTATCCCTATACCAATCAGCTATCTTATTCAAGTCACTCTGAAAGGACTTCATGTCATCTGAAGAATTAATAATCCTATATAGTTTACTATCATCTGCATATAAGGCGATTGAGCTATCTTTACTTATAACCCCTGGTACATCATTGATATAAATAATAAAGAATAAAGGTCCCAACAAGGAACCTTGAGGTACTCCAGAGGTAATTGTCAGCCAGTCAGATAATTCCCCTTTTACAACAACTCTCTGCTTACGATCAGTGAGATAGTCTTTACACTATTCCAGAAGACGCCCGCGGACTCCATACTTAAATAATTTAGTCGAGAATATTATGATTCACAAGGTCAAAGGCTTTGGCAAAAATCGCGGAATGATTTTCTGAATATCAGTTATACTTAGCTCATTAGAATTCCAGAGGAAAAGATTGAAATGAAGTGTTGAACATTGCATCGCATAAATTTAATCCAGGAAACTTGAATTTTACAATTCAATGTCACATCATGTAACCTCAGCAACTCATAACTTAGATCCCTCTCCAAATAATGATGACAATGATAATTAAAGTAATACTAGTTCCTGATTTTCTGTATGAAATTGCCTTGGAGGACAAGGCGGACTATAAAAGCAGTGTAGGCCTCACTAAATTGCGGCGTCCAAAATCATATTTGACTTTGGAGTAGAGCAGCAAAGGAGAACAGCTACAACCGAAAGACTCCCTCATTTGTTCATCTCCACTATGACCCAATTGCAAAGTTCGAATTGACGCTCTAAGTAACAGTTCGGAATCTTGGTTCCTGCTCACAAAAAGTTGAGTAAACTAGCCCTACAATTTAAAATCGAAGCATTTAGAGGCAACAAATAAACTGAACGGTAAATCATTGGTGGTCAGATGAATTCTACTCAGAAGTTGAAGAAATAACTCCTAAGACGCTAAAACGAGTGCCTTCAAAAGTTTTATTTGTCCGCCATAGAACGTGATGGAACTTTCTAGGATTAGAAATCGCTTACTGCTACACGGGTAGCACCTTCTCGCGTGCATGCTTTGCAATGCACGAAATTTTATAACATTGACGGTAACAAGGTCAATTTTTTTGGTCCGATCGTTATTCGGCATCATTAGTCTATCCCACACGATATGTTCTTCACTTTCAGTGAAAGCGATGAATATTTACCTCCACTACGGTTAATAATTGTTAGCTATTGAAAACGGAACTTTGAGACGCTAGAAATTTAATGATTAGAATCGTAGAGTTGTGTTCGCACTGAAGCGCAAGTGGGGATACCTTATAAAGTAAAATAACCTAGAGAGTATCTTTCCTTGAAACCACATCGTTTGAGACCAGTGTTTGAGCACTTGTTTGAGACCAGTGTTTTGAGCACTTGTAAATCTCAATATTCATACAAATCACCACTACTGGTAGGGCTAATGCTAAGAGCTAATTCGTCAGAGTCAAACAAGTTTTTGTTGATTTGTGAAATTTTGTAACGATTATAAGGTATTGTGAAACAATCTTCGTGAATATTCGCCTCGGCTAGAGTCAATTTAGACTGGTTTGTGTATATCCAATGCGTGTTTGCTTTGATTTGCTGGCGGGATTACCCAGCTGGACAATACTTTCGTTAAGACTTTTGAAAGATCCAAGGTTTAATAGTACTCAGTTCGAAAAAGAGATACCAAGGAATGCAAAATACTCAAATTGTCTTCAGCTGGTGCAGGTTAAATATCCCTGATTACCTTTTTAAATGTTTACAATTTAACGTAAAGTTCGTCTTGTTAGAAACATGCTTTGTTTATGAAAAATGGTGACATTTGGAGATACGAAATTAAGCATAGATTGCAAGAGGAATCAGTAACTTCCAGGAGAAATGAATGCGCGCGAATTGTTTAGTTTCGTTAAGAGAAATCTGTCTCCTCCAGCAATTCCAGTGGTAAGAAAATGTCCAATAGGCACCGAATTGCTTCATCAATTCCTTCGAGTTAATTCAAAACCATACTTAGAAACAGATACTCACAAACGTTGAGTGGATTATTAATCACGTTAAGGCGCCTCTTGAGAACTAATTTGGATAACTTTGAAGTAACTTATCCATTCTAAAGTTTGATAACAAAGCACTCATGTCTCCTCCAGGAGATATGACTGCGCGCGAATTGTTTAGTTTCATTAAGGGATATCTGTCCCCTCAGGAAATTCCAGTGTTAAGAAAATGTCCAATAGGCACCGAATTGCTTAATTAATTCCTTCGAGTTAACTCAAAACCATACTTAGAAACAGATCCTTGCAAACGTTGAGTGGATTGTTAATCACATTAAAGCGTCTCTTGAGAATTAGTTTGGATAACTTTGAAGTAACTTATCCATTCTAAAGTTTGATAACAAAACAATCAGTGATTTAGTAATTAGCACGAGAAAAAAAAAGTATGCAGACGCCAGAAAGTAGTCCTTGAGATAACAAGTTGTATTTGAACAATAATTTCATCAACATTACAAACAACGCATTTCCTCTGCGCGTTTTCGAATTTATGTGGCCACGAAATTTTTTTCCGAGCAACACAAGAATTGTAACTTTCCGCAGATTTTATCTTCTTGTTAACAACAGCTTATGTTATTGTTATGCATGGCTTTGCTTTGTGTCATGAACCTTACGCGAACGCCCTGAGAAATTTCGACAGAAAAGAATGACTTTGCACGGTTCTCTGAGAGAGAGAGCTGATCAGCCACATGTATACAAGTATACTGATTACAACGTTAACGTTCGAGCTAGTTTGAATTCGATTTGTAACTCGTCTTAATAACATGGTTTATCCTCTTAGGCTGGCCCTATCTCCCTTTTTTCTCTGTTACATTCTTTCCCCGTCAGCCCCCATGGCTTGACCTAAGGCATAAGGACGTTAATAGCAGAGAGCCTTGCGATGTATACGTTAAAATATTCAATTATTTACTATAAAAATTAATGACGATGACTCACCGTTTAAGAAATTCCTTTACAACCGTTTTCCGTGAGTTATCCCAATGACAGCATTGGTGCAGATACACTGGAGATGTTCAGATAGACGCATTTAAATGCTTCTCCCGTGTTTTCACAGCTATCAATTTCCGGTATTCTATTGAAGAGTGATGTCATTCCATGATAGCTAAACAGATAAAATTGTTGTGATTCCAGCCGCTTCCTATTCACGTAATTAAAGATTTACTGGTCAATAACTCGGATGTTCCACTGGGTTCGACAATCTTACCGACGAGATTTGTGAACAGAAAATAATTGTATTATCCTCCAACGGCATTTCACTTTAAGAAGTTTCTCGTTACCTAACCCTACGTGCACATGTGCACAAGTTCCTCAACTATTTTTCCACAATGATTGTTTTGCAGTACTTTTTTCTTATTGAGACTTTACTTCTGAAATCTATGGAACTGCTTTGAAGATCGACTTCCTCAAAATATAGTGGAATTGCTTCTCGGCAGTGCCATTTAACCTCGAAGAAGAGGCAGGGGTCTATTTTTAGATCCTTCAGTCCAAATTAGCCTGTTTTTTTCTTTTTGTTTCTTAAGTGCGTCTACAAGTGGGTGTGCCTTGTTCGCATTACTTACATAACATCACAGGAGTGGCATCCTAAGCGAAGAGAACAACAACAAATGAAACATTTTGTTTAGAAGGTATTACAGAAATTACTTTCTAATTAGTATTAGTGTTACGAGAAACAAAAGATGCGTACATAGATATACGTATATATACATCGCAATGTCGTCTACTGCAATAGAAACGAAGTTTTTTCTAAGTTTACTTCGTAATGTAAGCAATTAAGATGAAAGATCGCGGAGGAAGGTATGTCCCTTGCAATTGGGTCCAGTTGCTAGACGTTTAAGTGTTTCTCTAAGATGAAGTTATGTTTAGCATTAAACTCATCTGTCATCTGTTAGGGCGTGCAACCAAAATGGAAATTAGGAATGTTGTTCTTTTTTAAAAAAGGTTTCATTGAGTTGCCCTTATTTTGATGAAGTGAACCACGGAATTTATCCTGCTCGGGGCAGGCTTTAGGTAACATGCGAATCTTCCTTGCGTGCCTCATGAATTAACGTTTAAGTGGATATAGAGAAAAGGTCAAGTATCGCATACCACACGTTTATTGTTGAACCACAAAGTTACATAAAGGTTAATCACGAGACCATCAGGAAACACAAAACTAGTTTAGAGATGGCGGTTATTCATTGATTTTTTGACTAACTGGCATCAACTGGCACTAATAATGATGATTACGATTGTATTTTGTTTCTATTTCCCTTAATTAAAATTTGTCTTTATCTGAGGGATTCTAAATATTCCTCGCTTTTTCCCAATAGATTTAACCTAGCAGCTATTCACATAACAATAATCTCTAAAAATTCAACTATTCAACAAGCCAAACTGTTTTAATCTTCTTTTTCACCTAATATTGTTGAAGATACCAAGTGCTTGAAAGGAAAGCGATAACTAAGCTTATAAAAATAGCTCAACCACTAAGGTAAACAATGTGTTTTTTTTTCGTTTACCAATGAATTACATGATTTAAAACATATTGCAGACTCTGTCATATGATACTGTATGCTGATCATGGAATGATTTCCGACCCTGACACGCGACCAAAATGTTCCAGTTATTTTTCTGATTCATTATCCATATAAAAGTATTTAGCACCCATTTCCTGTGCGAAGCATCTTAGCTATCTATCTTATTATCCCGGTACCGGTAAATCAAGTGCTCAGCTCATTCAGATAATCCCCTTTCAACAAGAGCCAGCTATTGAAAACATTACTTGAATGACTACGTTGCAGAAAGAGGTTGTTTCTACGTATTTTACCTGAGCATGGAGACCGCTCAATAATTATAAAACCCACGTCATTATACATTTTCTCAATGTTGTATTTTCTCATGTTTTTGAGTGTTTTCTTCTACCTGCGATGTATGTTATCTAGTACCTGGATGACCTTTACAAGTTCAACACGATTCTACGATGCATGTTCGGTAGAAGGCCCCATTAATACATGCTTTTACACAAATATTTCCTAAACGAGGTTGGGCGTCACCCACTGATGGCTGGAATGGAACGCCGATAAAAGAATTGCAAAACTGTGCTTGAGAACCAAGGAACGCACGCAAACAACAGAATTTAACCTAAATGAGTTTATAGGGCTATCACAAAAATATTTCCCAAGGTAATTACAAACAGAAAGCCTTTCAGAGATATCGCCGCACTTCGCCAATTCTTTAATTAATAGTGTGGAATTAAGTATAGCGACGCGCCATAACAATAAAACGCGCCAGTACAATGATCAGTTATCTTTCAAAATGGGTAAAAATAGAACTTGTCGCATACTTGACATCAATCATGACTTTGGGACATGAAAATGTGCTCTTAAAGGTCCAATATAGAATGAATATGATTTTAAAATTTTCCTGTTTTAACACACTTAAAGACCCTTTTTGGGGCCTTTTTTATGATAATATTCGATCACAAGTTTTTTGATAGGATTTCAATTGACCGAAAGCTTTTAAAAATCTGATGATGACTTCCGCATAGGTTGTAGAAACGTCAGTCACCACCACTTACAACAGTCCTTCTCAGGACTACACTCACTCGGACGATCGCGCCACACTTTCACATGTTACCCTGGATTCAAGCCATTTACTGTATGAAGCGTAAGCTTGTCTTTAGCACAAATGCCTTGAAAACAAAGTTTGTTGGAATATATTGTTGATGAGCTTTGTTGTTGGTCGTTCATCAGTGCCTTGCGAAGTTCATTGCAAGGGTTGCACGTTTGTTTTGGAACGGCAAATCTTCATGGTAGCTCACTATGCAACTTCTTTTCACTGAAAGTAAACATTGGTAGCCATAGTTTAATTGTTAATCCTACGTACGTACACTGAAAAAAATATGTTTCCAGCATGGAATGAGGCGATAAGCCAAGAATGAAGAGAATTAATACCCTCTTAGATAGGCGACGATCTCATGCGTCCATTCTTGAAATCCATTTATCCGTCGTTCAAAGTTAGAAAACGCGGTCGTTTTGAAGACAGGTATTTTAAATGTTTGTCAAGGTGGCGCCAAGACAGCAATATATCTCTAGATAGTTCCGTTATCGTTTTAAGTAAATAGGAGATTGTGTTAAACAGATTATCTTCCTTCCAATTGAGTTAGAAATTAAGTTACGACTGAGGTCCGTTCTATGCCAAAACTCGCTTGCCAGCTATTCCATGCATCATCAACATTTGGACGACTTCACTAATCTTTAATGGGCGCTTAAGTGACTGGTTTTTTTCTTCTCCATCTGATTTCTCTTTTGCGTAGTTGGGGTGTAAAAGAACATCCTGTGGTAACAAAGTAGAACCGAAAAATTTTACCCCCAAGTAATCAGAGTTGAGACGGTTGGGTAGCATCTAACGGACTGCCAGACTAAGTAATGGTTAAACTAGTTTGTCATTGTCATAATTTTCCTTCTGATTGTAGTGTGTCAAAAAGTTATGGTCAGAGTTTTCCCATTTATTGCTTGTTTTTCACTCTCCAAACAAAGAGCAAAGAGGAAAGGGATACTGTTAACGAAAGAATAAAAACAAAAATCACCAAGCATTTTTAAGTTTCTGGAAACATTTTGTTACCTTCTGAGTATGGCTAATTAACAATTACTCCACGAGCGCGCGATGGATATGAGATAATAGATAGCCAATGAGGCGCGTAGCGCCGAGTTGGCTATAATCATCTCATATCCAACAAGCACGAGTGGAATAATTGTTTTATTAAAAACGCCCCCAAGAAATTATTATTTTGTGAGAAGAAACCGGATTTTTTAGCTCCCTTTTGATTTTAAGCTGACGCGTACGCGTACCATATTTGTAGATTATGCTATATTGGCTCATATACCATAATGGCTAGGCCAATAAAAAGTCTTGAATTGCATTATCCAATGATCCAGTTTTTAATAATATCTATTCGACCCATCGATAGACCCAAATTAACCCGCCACGCCGTCCAAAAAGGGGTTAAAAAATATGCATTTCAATTCTCGTTTTTTTAGCTTTAAATATTTCATTTAAAGTCATCCAATCGAATTTACCACAGATGAATGAGTAAATTTGTAGTGAAACATTTATTATTTCTCTATTTTTCCATGCTCTTGTAAACTGTACAACAAATTTAATTTGCATTATTTACTAAGCGAAAAACTATACAGTTAAATACACTTTGATCACATCAAAGCTTCCTTTATTACTTCCCTCTGCCAGCAGTTCGCGAGTGAAAAGTACACAGCACATTTTTGGCCACTAAATTTCAGTGCTCAAGTTTATGATTAGAAAATAATTCAACAGTATCCTTTCCTCTCATTCAGAGGATAAATTATTTTTATGGTCACTTGTTAACAACTACATCTATACATGTTTAAATATCATGCAAATGTCTATGAAATTTGAGACAAAATCAGTGACGAACTCTTTTGGGTGGTGCTTTGGTCGGCCGACGGCAACCAAAGTGACCAGGCGAACAGCGCCTTCGCGCTCTCTTCCTTCCTTTCTTTTCCTGCTGATGATCAGTGTCATTCAAAGCGCTGAAAGTGTGAGCACCTTGTTTTCCACCAGACCTGGGTGCATCTGTAGGCCTAGTTAAGATAGGGCTCGAAGATTTTGGTCCCTGGCTAATTTCACCAGAGTCATCTTCTTCCACGCCAAACGAGCTTGTTAAGCCCCATCCTTCTCCAAAATGATCTTCTTCACTCGTTGTCGTACTTGTGGGAAGGACCTCCGTTTTTTCCTGATATTGGAAAAGGATTTTTTCTGTCAAAGGTGATGTCTTTTTGATAAACAGTTTAAACTTGCTTTCAAGTCATATGAAGTTTCTAGTTATATGTTGCCCTACTTGTCGGAGGGACCTCCGTTTTTTCCTGATAGACGAAAGGGATTTTTTTCGTCAAAGATAATGTCTTTTGGATAAACGAGTTAAACTTGCTTTCTAGTGATATGAAGATATAGAACTGGACGCGTCACATGCATCACTTAAGGTTGCGAATAACAACAATATTAACGACAGAATGCTGAGCTAAAACTCCACTTGAGTGGATGATGAGAGAGAAATTAAAGATTGTTTTCATTGTTACGTATTTTTCTTTGCACTGAGAAGCCCATTAAAACTTGCATACTATCTTGCTCTATCGGCTCCTTAGAACGCCTGGGAAAGTTTGCTCACCCTTTTCACTTTGCTCGGCAGTCCAGCCATTTGGAGGCTAGGCATTGCATCCACGAACATCGCCAGAGTCATCAACAATCCACAAAAGGCAATATAGGTTAGGAGTTTCATCTCGTAATTATGGTTTGTTCACCGTAATCAAGGTTGCACCAAAAGCTGTAGTATCGGGAAAAAGAAGACTCTATTCAGAATTAACATTGCACTAACGTAGGATTTACCCTTAATGCAACTATTGACCTGGAAGAAGTCAAAACTGGTTCAAATAATTCAACTGCATCTGCCAATTGACTGTCACTATACCAGAGAAACTGTTCTCTTTTCTTTTTGTAATCATGAACAAGAGGAATCGCTTTGATTTAATTTGATTTTGTCTGTTTTTTTTTTTCCGTTGGTTTGTTTGTTTTATTTTGTTTTTTTCTACGGACATTTCGTCAAGGAGGGGCATTGGGGCCTCTGGGAGACCGCAAAACCGGAGAAAAAAACCTCCAAAACCCGAAAACCGACGAAAAAAGGGCAGCAAAACTGAAAATCGCATGCAAACCCGACAAAACCGCTACATTTTCACCTTTCAAGGGGTCAAAAAGGAAAAACCGAAAACCGCATCAGAGTTTTCGTGAAAACCGAAGGCAAAAACACGTAAAATCCGCTAAGCGCTCTGAACATCAAAACCGAAAACCCGAACCTATTTTGCCGAAAAAACCGATCCAAAAAACAATCAAAACCGCAAAACCGACAATCCCAAAGCCCCCCTCGTTGAGGGTAACTTTTATGACTGAAAACACATTATTATTTATTATTTATTATTTATTATTATTCTTCGGCAACTTCCAACTTGGAGGAGTTGGTGAGAAATGAATGAGAAGGCCGACCGCAAACGAACCACAAAGCAGAAATTCAGTGTTTCCGCTTTAGGCGGGTCGGAATAATAATAATAATAATAATAATAATAATAATAATAATAAAAATAAAAAACAAAACCAGAAAAACGATATAATAAATGAATAAAAAAGAATTTAAAAGGGGCATGTTTTCCCTTGTTACGAAAGATACAGTCACTAAGCAAAGCAAGGCTATACGTCACCAGCGGACCTTTATACAACGCCATAATATCTAACATTTGAGAATGCGAGATAAATGAAGAACAGAATTACGCAGGAAGACTATACTAAAAAAAGAGATCGGCAACGATTTCCTGAATCGTGATTTCCGTTAAAATGACGATTGCTCCTTACTTTCCAGCTCCAACGGGAAGAAAGGTTATATTTAAGGTTGACTGGAACTATTTCCTTTATGAATAAATCACACTATGTCCTTTTACCTACATACCACGGCCAATGCATAAGCAGAAGTAACTTGATCTATCTTGTTTCACTCTCTTGTATCGTGCGACATAACTCTACTTTTTTTCTCAGATTTTCCTTTTGACTAGAGAACTTGTAAGTTCTAGCTAGTGGAAATTTTGTGTGGGTGGTAAATTTAAGATTCAGTAGGAACGGAAATACGCCAAGTTCCAGGATAGAAGCGTTTTTGTTTTTTTCCTACATACGTTGTACGAGACTGAATTTAAAAAATAAAAATGCAATAAAATGAAGAAAAAGTCGCAGAATTAGTGCGAAGGAATGCATAAGCTTTCGAAAAAAATAATTATTAACGTAAACCTCGGTTTCCGATACGAAAAGGTTTCTGGGACTCCTTTTCTCAAATGCAGTTGTTACGTAGCTTCACGTGTTTGTAAAAGCGGTCCACTCTTTCTTTGTGGGGGAAAATTAAAGCTTGACAGGAAAAGTAACAATCATAATCGTTTGCTTCAGCAAAGCCGTCAAGCTCTGATCCTAACAGAGTCACATCCTCTTAGAAGAATGAAAACCTGATCTACGAATCTCAAACCATACTACTAATTGTTAGATCCCAGAAAGGCTGAAATCATTTTTGGTTACCTCAGCGAGGTGGCTGCCGAGCTCTGAGACGAGCGAGCTACAATACGTAACAAGAAATCATTCCACTTAATATGAATAGGTAAATCTAACTCACTTCTTTCGATACCCTGATACCATTGAAAGCGTGCTTAAATCTTTCGAAATAAAGGAGAAATCTTAAATGTGCTGCACTGTTGCACAATTTACTAGAATTGGGCTGATGAATTCCATGGTGATGAACACATTTACTTAGAAAAAAAAAGTGGAAACCTACCACTTAGGGTTGTAGCTTGCTTCACTTGAGAGATCCTATCGATGTTCTCTGATAGCTGGTTGCTCGTCTCTTGCCTTCTTCTCTGTTATCGCTGGTCAACGCACTAACCGTATACACGCCTTCGACCCGTTTTTATAGCCAGCACTCGCGCTACGTCTCGGAAGCACGCATTGTGAAATCAGTTATTGTGACGTAATCCTCGAAGTGACACTGATCAGGATATCTTGAAATGTTGTTTTAACGTTGTCCAGTGATATCTTCTGAAAAGCTTTAGTTGTAATGTACTTGACATTGCCTTCACTGTAAATTGTTGAGTCTATAGAGCTACAAGTTAACATACCGATGGTGATTTGCGATAACTTCATGATGACTGATGGGTGTCTTCTAATTTATTTACACTTAGTATGGGATTTCCTGTCGACCACGATTAGAAGGGGTATTTTTGCAAATCTTGTGTACGTTGGGCACGAGGAACACATTCTTGTTTATTTATCTTTGGTTAAATTTAGCTCTCTCTCTCCTCTTCTCCAAATATGGAAAACTATTTGTGTTGAAGACAAGGCGTCTGAAGATCACCGTCAATTTGTCGTATTTTGCTTGTACCCGTAAAAGCCAATTAGTTTGAGGAAGTTTTGATCTGTTCCATGATTGATGATCTCGTGGTGGTACACCGGACTTTCTTCGCTGATCATTGCTCTCAAAGATTATCAGTTAATTTTTGAGATTTTTTCCCTGGTCTCATTCAGTTTCCATTTCCTAAAATGTCATCTATGTGACCGCAAAATGTGGATATAATTTCATAAATTTTCCAAAAAAATCTGCCCCTTTAATTAGCTACAAGTATCATGATCAAAATCCAGATTTATTGAAAAAAGCTTTGTTTTCTAAGTCGAAACCAATCCCTTAAATATGCAGAACGCTTCAAACATTCGTCTAGGTCTAACTGATACTTATTTCTTAGTTTTTGCCGTTGCTCTCATTTTCTAGGATCACCGTAAACATCTGCCCACACACCATAAACAGTCTTTGAAACTTAACTATGTGTGTAATCGGGTCTGGTGTTAAAACATGAACTAGGAGATATGGTACAGGGTTGATTCTCGAACGTGATATCCGCTTCATTGCATCCTCACGAAGGTAGTGAGTTGAGTTATCTCGGAAATAGTTGGACGATAATTATTTCTTAGTACGTGACAATTTTGAAAAATTAAGAAAATGAAGACAAATTAACTTTAGCTGCCCTGAGAACGTCCTACGTGCTCACGAAGTGTTCGTGTATGATAACTATTTGATGCTTAAATACCAGCAGAAGGTCCTACTCTGTGAAAAAAAAAAAAAAGCTGTTAACATGTGTCGCCAAAATTCAGGCTAAACACGGTGTGCCTCGACTTCACTTTCTGTTGGCATGAGTTGATCAGATTCTGGCCAAAATAGACTTCTTCTTTTAAAGATTTTTCCTTTTTTTTTTTTCTTAATTAAAAAGCCATTTACATGTAAATTACAAAGAGGAATCATGAGGTCGTGTTATCATAAGCTCGTGTTATAGTAGTGAAACGATGTGTAATTGAGGTTCTCTTTTTTTCCTTTTGTCTATTTTTCGTTTGGTTGTATGCGTGTTTGCCTGGGATTTTTTTTTTGGCTTGGAGAGGATCGGATTCTTGAGAATTTCTGTTGGATAATCCTTTTTTCATTTAAGCTGTTCCGTTCCCGTTTCTACAAAATATGACCACACTGTTTTTCTTTATCTCTATCGTGACTTGCATATTTCAAACACTCTCTCAAAACGCACTTTTGTTCTTAACCAAGGCGTAGAGATTATTGTTCGCATTCACACTGACTTACCCTCGGTTTTTGTAAACCGAGTGGTTTCGTTGTGGGTTTGTTTTGTTTCGTATCGGACTGGGTTATTTCGTACTTTATTGTATTGACTTTATTTGTTTGTTTGTTTTGTTATCTACCTAAATTTCACATTACAGCATTTTTCAAAGAATATCTTTTTATACACTTTTCATACACTTACGTAAATTGATCCAAACAATCTAAATTAAACGTGACACTGCGCTTGAAAATTTATTAACTTACTGCAAATTCGGTGCAATTTTGAATAGTTCCTCAGATTTCGTAACACACAATTCTAAACTGTTCAACATATTTAAATGACGTGTCTACGTTTGCACGAAGACGCACGTGTAAGAGTCTTGCTAGTGGAAACTCTAGAAGATTAGCGCGCGCCTTGCTCAATAAATCATGGAAGTAACGAAAGTAAAGACTGATTAAGATATTCAGAAAATCGGCTGTCATGCGAAAGCGAAACTCAAAGATACGCCGGCACTGCCACCAAAGCGAAGGCGATCTTGTGGGTGATCTTCTTTGGAAGTCACGAGAACAGCCATACTGGGTAACTGGTGGGAAGCCGCACGGAAAAACTCGACGGGGATGTCGAAATGCATATCGTTAATCCACAGAATGTCACGAAAGATCGGAACTTCTAGAGTGTTAGAGAGGATTTGGTCCGGGAAATCCGCCCGGGAGGATGGGATAAGAAAGCGAATGTTTATGGTTATCATTGCTAACATCGTTGCGTGCTCATAATGCCTTTTTACAGCAATTCTACCGAAAAATGACATCAATTTTACTCCACATTCACGTTTCAAAGTTGTGATCATCGATGAGAACTGCATTAAAGTACGAAAACCTTCTAAACTTAGAAGGATGGCTACTGATCACTTTTATTCATGATATGCCATTTTTTATCATGCATAGTGCCTAGTGCATAGTGCATAGTGCATAGTGCATAGTGCATAGCGCATCGGAAGGAAGACAACCATCACATCCAAAGTAAAGTAAACTAACGGATTTTGGAAATTTTCAAGTAAATTTTGAAAAGTGTACCACCCACTTAAACCTATCCATAATCTAAGGTTTTAAGGATACGCAGAACGCTTGTCACATTTGAGCAAAGCAGTTTACGGCCTTACGGCCTACAGGTAGAGGATCCTATTTCGAAAGACGAAAAAATGAGGTTTGAATTCTTTCAAGGAACCAAGATTTTTTTCCCACTCTCACGAACATTTTTGACATCTACCCTCTTGACTTTGTCTATCAGGCTGTTAACTTAACAATCTTTCTCAATCTCCTTATCTCAATAGTTTTGGTAGTTTGATACTCATGTTACTTGTGAACCATTTGTGTCTTTTTTTTTTTCCACTTATAACACAGTCGTATGAAGTCGGAGAAATCTCAATTTTGTCAAGCCTCAGTTTTAAAAACTCATCTACGTGAGATCAAAGATGCTTAGTGGAGGGGAGGATAAACCTGGTGAAACACTTGCAAATTTTTTTAGCGGGAACTATACAAATGATTACTGTCTCACTTTATTGTGATGTTCTCTTCGATAAATGAAGCGCTTCAACAGCTGACCTTATTGTGCTCTCTACTTCACTGGTAGAGCACAGGAGCAGGGAATGCAAAGCTGTGAGGTTCGATTTCACATAGGGAATCCCGAATTTTCTATTATTCTTTGGCCTGTGTGGGTGACAAGACGAATGATTCCCAAGTACCCTTTGTTTCCACATTTGGCACATTTTTCTCAGCAATTAATCATATTTTGCTAACTGCATGGAGACAATCCTTAGCGAATAGTTCTTAGCTACCATTCTTTGTTATTTATACTTTGATAGATTGGAAAGACTCTTGAATTAATTCTCGCCAAATCTATTGACACTTAAACTTTTTGAGTATGTCTTCCGGACTTGAAGAGAATTTGCCATTCTAGAAAATTGTAACCTAGAAATGTTCCAATCAGCATAAGGCAGGGAAGTAGTTTGATTATTCGGAAAGAACATCAATCTCGATGAAACTGGACCATTTTAATTTTTGTTGTTTTGGTGAAAAAATTATAAACTTCGTGGTTTGGTTTGTCTCCGCATTTACTCTGTCGTCGATTATGATTTCACACAAGAAGACGAAAATGACGCGGGCTTAGCTTTGTCATTCCACGGTTTCGAGGTTGTACAACTTTCGGGCACCATATTTCTTCGAAGCAACATGATTCCTGGTTTTCCTAAATAATCAGATGCATAGGGCCACAGCTTACGGAAACTATCATTCGTAGTTTGTATACAATTAAATGACCTATAAAATTACTTTTCGACAACTAAAATTCTGGATTGAGAAAAACGTTGACAAAAAATAGAGTCGAAGTCAAGGCCACAGTTCTGAAATGTTAACAGAGTGAGGTTTCTTCTAAACTTACTATAAGAAGTATTACATTGCTTTACTATCTCACTCAGGAGCCCACATGCAGAACAAAACCAGCATTCTGGAAGAAAGGTCAAGAAAAACTGGCCTTGTTATCAACACCGCAAGGACCAAAGTCATGAAGATTAACTCATGTTCAAGGAGGAAGATCAGAGTGAATGACGCCGATATCGAAGAGGTGGAATCGTTTACATACCTTGGGAGCGTAGTAGACACATGTGGGGGACCTGACGCAGACGTTGCAAACAGGATGAATAAAGCAAGAGGAGCCTTCCACTCCCTTAAGAAGATCTGGAGCTCTGGCAGCATATCTACATCAACTAAGCTGAAAATCTTCAACTCTAATGTAAAAGCTGTGTTTTTATACGGGGCAGAGACCTGGAGGATGAAAGTCAAAACGGCAAGAAAGTTACAATCATATGTCAGTCATTGTTTGCGTCGAATCCTGAAGATACATTGGACAGACAAGATCACAAACGAGGAGCTCTGGGAGTGGACAGGTCAAATACCGATGGTCAAGCAAGTGAGGAAGAGAAAATGGGTACGCTTTGGCTTAGCAATTGAAAGAACTTCAGTTCTGGTGTTGAAATCCAATATCTTCAATCATCATCAAAAAAAAAAAATTAAATATATTTATGTGGCAGAAAGAGCATGGCTCATTTTAATTTCTAATAGATACTTAACCTAAGTACCACTCAAGTTGTATCAGACTGGATGTCGGCCAATTTGAAAAGTTCATAATCGATATCGTGCAAAATATAAACTACCCTTTTTCTGCTGATGAAAGTGTGCGTCATTTTTGGTTTCCTCATTTTGTAAGATTGCAAGTAGGAATTTCCAGTTAGATTCTAATCATAGCATAGAGTGACTTAGATCTTCAGCCGCTCTGAGATAAAGGTCTATTATCTAAAGACAAAAAAAAGGACGATAACTGTGGGTATGTGCACCGTCACGCGTCTCTTATCAAAAGTTATGTAGCACTGGTTGTCGTCCACAAACTTTTGATCTCGCCTGGCACAATTTGGCTCTCCGGCGACCTCACTATTTATAGGTTGCGAATTAATTGATTTATTCTGTGATTTTATTCTCGATACTGATCTTGACGAAAACTGCAAATTTTAACAGTTATTCAAAACTGCTAGTTTTAATTTTCATCGGAGAGGCTCTCCCCTTCAACACATTTTGTCAGCACACCAAATTCAACTCAAAACTGAAATATATCTATGGTACCTTTCAGTTGCCTTTTTAAAGTTTTAATGAATGCAAACAATCTAAGGGGTATACTCAGCTCATGGCTCCAACTGAAACAGTAGCTGAAATAGTTTGCAAAGGTAGTCATTTCAACGTGTCGGGACGGATTTGGTGCACCAAATGCATTATGGCTGGCTCCCTTTGCTAGACTCCATTTCCCGTTCCATATGCAACAACAGTTGTTGTTGTTCTGTTACATAACACTGTCCTATCCTTGTAGTATGTTTACGTAGCTAAAATGATGCCTCTTTGAAGGAAACTTCAAAGTATTAGCTATTTACTCCTATGCATGTTTTGTATCTGTGCATGATCAATGTAAACCTTTCTAATCTAAAGAATTAAACCTACGGTTTAATTATTTTTCTTTTTTTTTTTGGAAGAAAATCGAAAATGCTATTAAAAGAAATAGATAAATAAACAAATGCTCATAGGTAGCTAATAGGAATGATTTCACTTTCCGCCACCTGTAGGGTGTACATAATATTGGAATACTTGGGTGTGTTTTTTTTTTTCCGGTCGCAGATATCTGCTACGTGCACTTCTTTGACTTCTACCTCCAAAAGCAAATCCTAAGCTAACATCGTGAACTTGCTAAAAAAATACCTAGCGGAGGGGAGAAAGTTGTACTCTATTACGTATCTTCCAACTTTTCTGACTCCCTGTTTTGTGTTTGTCCATGGTCTAAACCAATTAGACAAACAAAAAAAACCATACTTGCTTAGTTTTGGTCAGCTAACGATTTTTCAATGTTACAAATGAAAGCTTAAAACAACAGTCACTGGTGATTTACCCCCCTTTATACCAAATTTGTCAACCGAGATCCGACGACAATTTGAAGAAATCTAACAGCTGGTTGTTTAATTGAAATGAGCTGAAAATAAAACCTCTTGAATTTATATTGTATTGCGGTTTTGCGGTCTTAGCGTTGTGATGCAGGGCTGCCTGATTAAGCATTGCCTCTTATTTTGCCTCCCCACGGATTAGTTTCTTTAGAAGAAATCTTTTCGTTTGTCGAACTACGCTTTAGAAGTTTCTGGTGAGACAAAAAAAAAAAACAACAACAACAACAACAACAATCAACGTTATGCGCTAGTTTTAATTCCAAGTTATGAAAATGATTTTTTTCGCATGACCTCACTCACTCTCAACCCATGCAAGTCACGTCTTTCTGATGATCGACGGAGAAAAAACTTCCGTAAACGTTGTTGTCTGGGAATATCATCAATGACATTGTTATAAAGACACTTTTTCTGTTCATTAAACTCGTCCCTTTACTATTTTGTTCTTCATTAGAGATGCGTAAATTGGCTTTTCGTTGAAAAAAATTGTCTGTGAAAATTGAAATTTTTAATGATATTTTGATAGGATTGTCCAAGACAATTTTCATACGAAAACGTGGAGTTACCCTCGAGCTCTTTTTAGCAACGCTACTAGGTTTCATTATGACTCGTTTAAACCGCTATCCATTAGCCTTTGACAAAAAAAAGTTGATACTGATAACGTTTGGGTAATTTTCAGTGTAATACGATTAGGTTAAAGTAGGGGTTTGTAATGATTTGTGGAGTGACAAACGGTGCGCATGCCAAGGCTAGGGTTAGGCTTACCCACATGCGCCGACAGAGTAAGGGTCAAAGAAAATCTACTTTTATTTGGTAACTCCTTAAGAAAGCTAAGTCTTAGCCGAATCATTTAGTAAACCAAGTGAAAAGGGTTAGAAACGAACCTAACACATTCTTGAATTCGATTGGTTTCGGCTCAAGGATGTATGGTCAAACTGACCAACACTGAATTTCAGCACTAGCGGGTTTGCCAGCATTTTTAATGTCTCTCGCAGTTAATGAAATTTCACCAGCCATACTGTCTCGAAGGTCGATCTAAGTCACAAGGATGAACCTAAGAGAAGAAACATAGATTGTGCCTCCTTGAAACTATAAAATAGACGAGATGCATTTTAAATTATTTATCGTGCGCCTGCATCATAATCGTCTTTGAATTCCACCATTTTGGTATTAGACCGACTTTCCTAAGTGTGGCTAATCGGTAAAGAGCCATAAAATTGAGTAGAGTTTTACGATGGATAAGTCTCCTAAATAATTGCTTGTCGGAGAATACACAAGGATATCTATATTTATGCAATATCATTGAGGGTTTAAAAGGGGAACGTCTTGTATTCCTCTGTTTTCTTGATTGGCGGTAAAGGGTCTCTTGAATCTTGAAAAAGAATTATCTGATCTTGAAATGTCGACAGCCTTGTGAGTATGAAAGTAACGCATTTGTTTTTTTGCAAGTTATCAAAGTTTAGGATCTGTTTTTTTTTTTACACTTGCGAAGGCGTCGATGAAAATGTAGCCTAGCGTGGAGATGTAGTTTTGAGCGACAAAATCAGCGTTTAATCTCTGTCGTTTTTAAATATTGCAATGTGGAAAATGCTATATATTGCAAAAACAACGCGAAAAGAGAGTATTGCAGATCTATCCAATATTTCATGCTATTAATAACATTTAGGGCGATACAATGGTGGTGATAAAGATGAGTTTTAGAGCATAGTATACTGTTTGGTCGCGTCGCGGTCTCGGATTTTCAAACAGAACCCTCAACATCTGGCAATTCTCGGATTTCCCATTTGTCATCCCTGACTTATAGCATTTGCTGTTGTTGTTGTTGTTGTTTTTTTTTTAACAACATGTACTATGTTATAAAATGCTTTTAACTTGAGACTAGGTGGCTTTCCATGATGCTTTTAGTTAACTATATCATCTAAGTATTTTGGAGGAACAAATGGTTTCACATTTGTTTAGCATTTAGTTTCTCAAATTCAAGTTCATGCGTAGGTCAATGTCCCTGCGTGGCCAATTTCGCATATACAGCCTTAGAGCTGCTGCACTTCCAACAAGATTTATTATCTTTCTCCTCTTACAAGAGACAAAGACTTTGTTCAGTTGAGGATTTCCACCTTTTTCTGTTCCCTTTTCGGGCAAAAGTTGAAAGGCAAATGTTCAAATGTTACTAGAAATGGGTTCTCTCAAGGTTCTAAGTCGTTCTCTCAAGCTTCAAAGTCTCCTTCTTTTAGTGTATTATGTAAGACGGGATCTGCAGAGTTATCATGATATAAAAATTAGCAATTTGCGTTACCTCCTCTTTTTGCATTATTCCTGGAAAGCAACATTACTAGGCGTCTTAGGAAGTTGGTTTTTTTTTTGGCACAGTTTCCTTTTTGTTGATAACATCGCTTGTGTTTACTTGACCCCTCATTCCAATACCATCTAAGTTACTGTTATGCCGTGCATGCTTTCCCTGGAATTTCCCTGCATAAAATGACTTAGACTTATTGATGTTAATGAAATTCTGAATGCGATTAAACATTTCGTCTAATTGATTAATTAAAAATATGCTCTGTGTGTTACTGCGAGTTGCAAAGTAAATCATATCCGTTTAATCTAATTGTCCCTCCATGCCTTTCAAGATCCACAATGATGCTGGCCAGTTTTTCTAATTCATCCGAAAAGAACTAAGGTCGTTAAATTATCTTTATCACATCGCAGAGACATGATTCTTCCCAGATGATACCAAGGGTGACCTTGTTTCTTACACTCATAATAATAATAATAATAATAATAATAATAATAATAATACACACTGTCAGTAAAGAGACTAAAAGTCCGAATGGGAACATTAAATTTGACTGCGCTCGATCTCTTTCCTCTAGGACCAGGCCGAAAACAGGGTGAACTAGCTGCGACTCAAAAGGTGTTTTTCAAGATTCGGAGCATTCCTTTTGAGCGCATACTTACCTTCTTTACTGAACAAAGAGACAAGGAGGTAGGTAAGGGGCTCTGCACAATTTACATGTAAGGCTACAGCAAAATTGCCAAACTTTGCTTCAAGAGCGAAATCAGTTGCAAAATAGCTCGTTACAATGAATATATGAAGTTCATATATTTTGAACTGCGGTTATAGATACGTATGATGCACGATCCTCGCAGTAGAATATACGTAAAATAGTTTGTGTCGGAGAACTCCCCCAAAAAGAAAGCAACAACAACAACTGTTACAATAGGAAAAATGCACAATCAACAGCCAAATTATTTTGAAAGATTTGGCCCCTTTTAATCTGATTGGATTATTTCAATTTTTTTCCTAGATTACAGATCCTCTTTTTAAAAGGTATTAAAATTTACTGTGAGAATTGACAAAAAATGCTTTATGTGAATGCTTCCATCTCGCTCAACCAGCAACTGTCTGAGAACCCTTTTCATTGCCGAAGCTATGCGCGTTGATAGAAGAATATGCAGTAATACTATGCGCCCACATGCAGAGATTTATTCTTTATTGTTGGTAAAATCCAATCAGCTAGTAATCCAGTATTGAGAGGCAAAACCCGTGTGATATACATAAACGGAAATGCACGATATGGATGTTCGTTTATAAGTGGGAGGAAGTGATTTGCAAGGTATTAGATAGGAGTTTAATATTATAACATCCTAACTGTCGTATAAACTCAGTGTATCCTCTTTATAAACTGATTTTCAAACTTTCGCTCTTTTGCGTCAAGGTACTAAAAACAGACGAGTGTTGTTTATGTGGCAAATATGTGGTTTTATTATCCAACTACACTCCATAGAGTACAAATAACGCCATAGACGAGTGCAAATATCACGCGGTATTTGTACTCCAGAGAACCGGTTAGACAGGTTTACTCGCATCGCCCAAGCGAAGAACTGAATTGAAGTTACAAAAAGAAAAAATGGCGGACAATTTGAATCATATTTCTGAGGACGAAGAGTCGGAATGCCTGGCAAATATAGATCCAAGTTTATTAGATCAATCTAACGAAGAAAAAAAGCTAGACGACCAGGAAATTTCTTAATTTATTGAAGAAAATAGAAACAGCAACATGACAACGCGCCAAGTCCGTTCCGCTTTGCATACGTCTGTCATGCACTTCTCGTAAACAAACATCCGCGAAATTCGCCCGCACTGAAATAACAATTTGGCTCGTAGGATAATAAATAACTTATCAGACGTTTTGTTGTGTAGTATCGCTGAGTATTTTTACTCGTTATTTGAATTTTGACTCGCCCTACGGGCTCGTCAAAATACGGCACAACTCGTAAAAATACTCAGCGATACTACACAACAAAACGTCTAATAAGATATATTTTCTCACAATCAGATACGTGCATCACGAGTGGTGCTTGAGATCATTTGGAATTTATATTGGTGAGCTTGATTAAAAGGTAATTGCAAACCTATTACTTTGATCCACTGAGATATTTTTGATAGTTAATTAATCCTTTACTGTCACTAGAGATTATCGCCTTCCGTCTGAGGTGTCTATTTTTGGAAATATCTCACGACAAATACGCCAGGATTTGTAAACACTTCCCGTCCACAAGTGCCTTTGTCTGAGAATAAGTGAAGTAAGATTGTTACATCGAAAATTGTACTCGTATTCGCTTCCTGTCTACCCCAGATAGTTAACGAACAGCCCTCACAAGTTTACAACATGTAGAAAACATATTATATTGAAAAGAAAGCGTAGCATACTGCAGAAAGACATTTAAAACTAGTTTTAATAAGGTGTGCCTGTAGGAATCTCAAACTGTTTACAGGACGTGTTTTGCAAACCACAAGATTGAGAATATAAAAGTGAGCCACTTTCAATGCGAAATTATTGCCATGCTCAAGGCAATAAATACTTGCAATTCTCCTTTTCCTTCTCAGTCAACAAATGAATTTGTATTTAGTAGGCTATTCCAAATTTGACTACCTTTGCTGGCCAGAATATTCTTGCTATCATTTGGACTGCTCGCAAACAAAAAGGGCAATTTACGAACTTGT